TAGACTGGATTAAGAAAATGTGGCACATATACACCATGGAATTCTATGCAGCCATAAAAAAGGATGAGTTCATGTCGTTTGTAGGGACATGAATGAAGTTGGAAACCGTCATTCTGAACAAACTATCACAAGGACAGAAAACCAAACACCGCATGTTCTCACTCATAGGTGGGAATTGAACAATGAGAACACCTGGACACAGGGTGGGGAACATCACACGCCAGGGCCTGTCAGGGGCTGGGGAGCTGGAGGAGGGATAGCATTAGGAGAAATACCTAATGTAAATGACGAGTTAATGGGTGCAGGAAACCAATATGGCACATGTATACATATGTAACAAACCTGCACATTGTGCACATGTACCCTAGAACTTAAAGTATAATTTTTTTAAAAAAGTATATATATAAAAGACTCCTTGGTCTTTGGTTTGATTCTTTCTCACTGCACATGCATCAGTCAGGAAGTCAACACACAGAGTGAGCTCTTCCTTTGGGTGTGCAGTGTGCTGAGGGCATCTTGATGGGCCCAGCGCTCACAACCCCACTTTCAAGGACCTGCAGGCTTTTCTGTTGACCCCCACTTCTGCTTTAAGCTTTTAAACTTCTGTGTGGTTCTATTCCTTGTGCACCCAGAGTTCTACTTGTTCATGTGGTTGTTAGGTATAGAGATGGGAAAGCGCCTCTGAATACACAATACAGAGATATGTTACATATGTGAACCTGGAGGATTGGGGGTAGGATACCGTCTGTCTCTAGTCTCATATTCCGTTTTTAAAGGAGGGAAGATATAAATGTATTTCCACCAACATGGAGATTCATTAGGAGAAAGGGGCAGAGAATCAGATTCTGAAAAGGAGCCACTATAAATACTATAACCAAACAGAATCTGCCAGGCTAGAGGGAATTGCACCTCCTCACTGCACAAGATTAGCTAATGCCAGTGAAGCTATTGGAGTGCTTCTGAAGAAATCAAATTGTTGTTGTTATGATTATGCTGTTAGATATTTCTTTCTTGAGATTCTAAATGGGTTTGTTTAGTGCCTTATTGGTCCATTCCTGCATCTCTGCTTCCAGAACCCAAGAACAAGTTTTCTGGATCACATAGGCTCCTCTGCTGCTTCCTCAGAAACAGAGAAGGTACTTGGTGCTGAAGAAAGAGAAGGAGACAGAGACTGGGAAGGAGAAGGAAGTCGGCAGAAAGAAGAAAGAGGCACAAGAAAGAGAGAAGGGGAGCTAAAAGCAAGAGGTAAGAACAGATCTCAGTTCTTCATTTCTGCTTGAGGACTCATTGAGGCATTGCATTGGTTTAGGAGAGCAAATGAGGTGTGACGTGTTATAGAAAGTGGATCTTAAAGCTCTTACTGTAAATAACCCATAATAAGTAAAACTTTTGCTAGGCAAGAAAAAAAGGTATCTAAAGAGAAAAGAGACGTTGACCTACATAGAACAGACCATTATTGTAGAAATGGGAAGGGCCAAACCATTCTCATGCTGAGCATAAATTTCCCCCTCTCTAAGGCGATTGACCATCTGAGTTTGTTTGGGAACTGTTTTGGTTTTAGCAGTGAAAGTCTTGGATCCCCAGGAATTCCCTCAGGCCCAAGCAAACTAGGATGGTAGGTCACCCCACCCCTGCCTGAAATGTCCTCCTCCCATGCCACCCCTCTCACCTCACCTCTTAATGAAGGTGTCCAGCTGCAACTTTAAACACAATCTCCTCCACAGAGCGTTCCACGATCCTCAAGCAGAACTGGTTCTTATCTCTGTGTTCCACGGGGCCTTTTACATAACTCAACAATAGCGCTTACTAATCGTATGCTGTTTCCCACTAAAATGTCTTTCTCTCTGACACAGTGTAAACTCTTTAAAAGTAATAATCTCATATTTGAATCTCTGGTTCATATAATTTTCTGATTATATGAATGAATAAACAAAGGAGCAAAGGAAGTTTGAGAAAACTACGGGTAAATTATTCACTACTAAATATTAAACATTACTTGAGATATTCCCACCAGCACCGAACTACCTGGACATGAGAGCAAATTCTGAAGGTCTGGATCACAGGCAGACAAACAGGAATGCTTGGAAGGCAGAAGCCTCCCGCACAACATTTTTCACCTGCTGCTAATATGCTACCCATAGTTTCCACCATTAAAAATCTATTCTTTTGGGTTAAGCCAAATTTCTCCTTTGCATAGAACCTGCCCAGACTATTGTTTAAAATCTTATTTTGCTATTCACCCAGGTGACTGGCTTAGCATTCATAGCAATCACCCCAGCATTGAGGTCTTGCTCAAATAGCCTAAGGTACCTGGCAACATAGAAATGGCTCTATTTCTAGATGATAAATACCTCAATTATAAGGATTAAAATGTTCTCTGGGATATTCTATTAAGTGGTTTGGTCCCAAAAGACCCCAAGCAAAGGCTTTGCTATTATTTTTTTGCTAACAATTCGGCTAGGAGGAGGACTGCGTCCCATCTGCTCATGAAGACTAAGTTGGTAAGAATTTGTGCTGTGCTCGTTAGAACCCAGATTACCTGCAACTGTATCTACCATGGGTTCTGGGAGCTAAGTGGCTTCCCTAAGCCTGGACTTAAAGTGTTCTGTGAGAAGTGTATTTCTTTCTAGAAGTGGGTGGAAGGTGGAGGGGTAGGAACCATGTTGGGCACATCTGTGAAGAGAGAATGTGACAGACCTCTGGAAGTGTTGGCAATGGAAAGGTGTGGAAAGTGATATAGTCTTAGAGGGAACATTACGTGACCGGGGGAAAGAGGTTTCTTTGTGGGCAAAGGGAGGTAAGACATAAGAAGTCGGAGCGAATGGTCTTCAGAATAAATATCCAGAACCTCACTTGAAAACACCAGGAAGATATCACGGTGGCCCCGAGCAGAGAGGAGAGGCAACACAAGATTACATTTGCAGACTTAGTTATGAAATTGTATAATTTGAGGCCTAATTTGTTTTGAATGTTCCTGCCTTTTCGGCCTCTTTAGTTTATAATCTAAAACCATCTTGTGAAATAGTTTGAACCTGGATCTAAGTTGAACATGAAACACAGCTGAGTGTGAAAGAAAGTAAGTGTGCCACAAATCTGAATGAGAAATAACTTAAGATCATTCAATAAATCCCTAACTGGAACACTATGTGAAGGGCGCGGAGCAAACTTTCACACCTCCACTCACCTGCCAGCCTGGGGTAGAGAGGGGTCGGGGAGGGTACGGGGCAGAACTCTGCCTGCTGTGGTGAGAACTCGCCACGGGGACTGTGCAGGCCCAGCGCTGGATCAGGCAGGCAGATTCCTGCTCAGTGTGTGCCTACAGTCTGTCTGACCTAAACAGGAGCCACTGGAGACTATTTTCTCTCAGTTGTAAACCTTACACATGAAAACTGGCCAATGACATGAGGCTGATGGGTATAATATTAGATTATATGTGATATTTTACAGTAAACAGAGGATGAGCTCTGGAGCCATGCAGACCTGGACTTGAATCTCAGCTCTGTCCTTCACCCCTCTGTGATACAGGGAGTGGATTCAACCACTGAACCTTATAGAGCCTCAATTACCTACAATTAAAATGAAGATGACTATCACTCTAACATCAGGCTTTGATAGGCACATCAAGGAATGACGAGAGTGAAATGTCCAGTGTAGAACTCAGCTCATGGTAGGTATTCACATTGATTCCTTTCTCCTTAGGAGAGAGGTGAAATTCACAAAGACGCTGAGGCATTTACTGATTTCTACACCCACTCAGGCCACTGTCCTCTCATCTGGATGACCTCAATATCCTTGTCTGGCCACACGGACTGTGACTGGAATCAGAGACGAACCGTTGACTGCTAGCTCTCGTCAATTAGCTACTCAGTGACCAGAGTGCATGCACTACATCATAAATCTCATTTCAAATCTCTGTTTGGAATCCTTCAATGACTTCACGTTCCCAGCTCTTTTGCAGGCCTTCAGCAGGCCTTCGGGAGACCTTCCTGGGCTGGCCCCTGCATCCTGCTCCCGTTCAGGCTCACAGACTTCAAATGCACCCTTCCTGCCCTCCAGCACACTGAGGAGGCACGCACATCTATTCCTACAGTTCCCCAACAGGCTCTCCCTTTGCACAATTTGCCCCTGTGCCTGAACAGCTTCCCCTATCTCTCTTCCACATGCCATTTGTCTATTTGGATAGCTGTAATCCATCTTTGGGATTCAGTTTCCATGTCACTTCCAGTTTTCTCCAGCCAACGGCTATTTCTCATTCAGATTTGTGGCACACTTTCTTTCACACTCAGCTGTTTGCTCTTTGCGGCACTGTGTGCATGCACCCACCATAACAAGTAGTGCATGACTGCTTGGGCTTCTGCAAACTCTACTGTGAGCCTCTGTGAGCAGAGCTTGTGTCTTGTTTACTGCTGTCCTCGCAGCACAGAGAATAGCATAGAGGAGAGACCCAATAAATACAATTTGTAAACTTCTAGTTTAAAGTAATGACGATAGACTCAAAGAAAAATTGCAAAAACCTTTCCTAGCTTTCTCTTACATCCACATCTTATAAAACCTTAGTAAAACTATTAAAACCAGGGAATTATCATTTATACAATACTCTTAGCTAAACTACAAACCTTATTTGAATTTCACCAATTTTCCCACCAGTGGCCTTTTTCTTATCCGCATTGCATTTAATCAGTATGTCTTCTTAATCTCCTCCAATCTGTGAGCTAGGTCCTCAGTCTTTCTTGTCTTTAATGACATTGATATAATTTTATTTTATAGAATGTTCCACCATCTGGGTGTGTGTCTGGTGTTTTCTCAAGGTTCGATGGAGGTTGTGCCTTTTTAGCAATACGCACAGTGGTGTTATGTCCTTCTCAGTGCATGGTATCCAGAGGCACATGATGCCCCTGTGTCTTACGCTGGTCATTTGCTTGTGGGGAAGGCTGTCAGGTTTCCCCTCTGTAAAGTTAACTGTCTTTCCCTTTGCAATTAATAAGCATCATGTGAGGAGATACTTTAAAATTGATAAATATATTTTAATACATCAAAGGGCAGAATCCGAAAGAAAGACAATTAAAAATATAAGTATGAGTTCTGTACCTGCATTTTAAAAGCATACAGTAAGGATAAAATAGAGAAAATGAGATACCAAATGAGACAGCAGGATGGATTTAGGCCACCAGCATCGCTGCACTTTCAGTCTCATTCAGAGAACTATAGCTTCTGGGTCCTGGGGTTGAGAGTCCTCTTCCTTTTGCTCAGGAGACCACCCTGGGATAGCATGTTTAGATCCGGGCACCATCCTTGAAGTTAAATACAGTCACATTGAATCAAAAGTGCATTTACGTTACCCAAATGCTACCATGCAACCTCGGCAAAAGAGAAAGACAACCATCTAAATTGTGTTTACAAGAGAGTAATCCTCGTTATGTGTTTGTGCATCCAACCCTTCTTTATCCTACTAATCTCATATTTTATATTTACATTTTAAGAACAACCAAATGGGTTTTCAAGAGTGAAGTGACTTAACACAATTTTCTCTTATGCTCATTGTTCTCCACAGAGAACAATTCCTTTGAAAAATGTGACTCCAATATGTAACAAATGAGAGCCTGTCCAGAGAGGTGAGCAAAGAGATTTTGGTCTGCTGGGGAAGATTAAAGGAATGGCAGGTGCTCACATTTAGAAAGGCAACACTCACCAAAGTGCAGAGTAGTCATCTTACTCAACCCGGGCTGACTAACAAAATGCCATAGACAGACTGGCTTTAACAACACACATTTACTTTCTCACAATTCTAAAGGTTGGGAAGTCCAAGATCCAGGTGCCAGCCAGTTTAGTTCTGTTGAGGGCCCTCTTCCTAGCTTGCAGATATCCTCCTTCTCACTGTGTCCTCACATGGTGGAGAGAGAAGGGCACATGAGAGAGAAAGGGAATTAAGAATAAGGGTGCAAATTCTACCAGATCAGGTCCCTACCCTTATGGCCTAATTTAACCTTAATTACCTGCATAAAGGCCCTATCTCCAAACATAGCCACATTGGAAGTTAGGAATTCAACACAGGAATTTGTGGTGGACACAAACATTGAATCCATAGCTGTAGTTATCCTCAAATGTTTCTTAGTCCATTACTTGTGTAACAGGATGTTCAAGTGGGACTTCTCTTTATTGTCTCACTGTCTGCTAAAGCCCTAACACTAAGCACAATAAGTGCCAACTACCTTCAAATTTAGAGAAAGGGGCAACACCAATAATTTGTTCCGCTTGCACTGATCTATCACTCATCTCCAGATGATATAAGAAAAGACTAAATATCCATTAGGGAGGAGCAACAAATGGTAAGCTTTCTTCAGAAAGAAAGTTGTAGCCTGGGCAACAAAGTGAGACCCCATTTCTCAAAAAAAAAAAAAAAAAATCAGCCAGGTGTGGTAGTACATGCCTTTGGTCCTAGCTACTCAGGATCTGAGATGGGAAGACTGCTTGAGTCTAGAAGATTGAAGCTGCACTGAGCCTTGCTTGCACCATTGCACTCCAGCTTGGGCAACAGAGCAAAATTCTGCCTGAAAAAAAAAGAAAAGAAAAGAAAAGAAAGTTGTATGCTGAAATGCCCTCCTAATCCTCCACTATTCAGGCCAACTGAGATGAGTTTCAAATAATCTCTAACAGGCTTGCCATATATTCCTTGGAATTGGGGCAGATTCTGGAACTAGTATCTGAGTCACACTTACTTGGAAGAAAATCTGAAGGAGGGAGTCTCTGGCTGTGGGCAGGGAGTAGAAGCTGTGCTGGCAGACTGAAGGGAGCTATGCGAATGGCAGGGCAAAAACACATTTCCTAAGGTCCACATGCGAACCTGAGGAAGAAACCAGCATGAGGCAGATTGAAAACTCTATCCAAGAGGACCACAGGAATTAGGGAGTGCAGGGTGGACGACCCCAGCAGAAGGAGACTCCAGTGAACCACCAGCCATGGGCTGGGAGAATGTCATTAATTTCTAGCCAAAGGAGACATCCCTGCACCAGAAAACTGCAGTTGGAAGTCTGCAAAGGAGGAGCTTAGAAGAACCCAGAGACATACCCATGAAAGAAAGGAGGAGCACTTGGGTGCTCAACTCAGAGAGCACCTACCTGGGCCTGCCAAATAAGGAAGACCTTTCCCATCCACTGCCCTTCTCCTTCTACCCCTGGCTAGCCCTGAAGGAGCCAACAGCAACATGAAGAGTGGGAAGTAGACCAGCCAGGAGGACAAAGAGAAAAGGCAAGTCTCTGCAAGTTTCCCAGCCCCAGCCAGGGCAAAGGTAGTGATTGAGAGCTTGGAGTTTAATAAAATATTGAACTGGGCTTTTAATATCTGCAAAAGACCAGAATATTCCATGGGATCTGCAGGAAGGAAGAAGGAATTGAAAAAAGTTATAACACAAAGTGGAGGAAAAATAAAGTTTCCTTCTATTAACACTGATCCCTATACAGCCAACTTTCTGGGTGTGCTTACCTGTAAAGCCACACAGAGCTCTGCAGTTAGAAGGGTTCCACCCTTGGCTTAATGCTCTGTTGCCATCTTGAAATTCTTAGTAGTTTTTAACATGGGCCCCACATTCTCATTTTGCACTGGGCCCTGCAAATTACATAACCAGTCCTAGTTACATATATAACAGGGACTTAGCCCTGTTCTATATGACCCCAATTGATAGAATGGAACCAATCAGTGGGAGGTAGGAAAAAAAACAGATTTTAGCTCAATACAGTAGTCCCCACTTATCCACAGGGAATATGTTCCAAGACACCCAATGGATGCCTGAAACCTAGGATAGTACCAATCCCAACTATGTTTTTTTCCTATACATACATACCTATAATAAAGTTTGAGGTGCAACAGCAAAACTACATGAATTTTTTTTTCTTCACAATTTCACCGGTAAAAAATTCATTCTCACTGTAGATCTCAGCAACTTTAATATTGTAATTTTTATTCTTTCCTTATTAAGTCAAGAGCTCTCACCTTTTCACTTAACAGAAGCACTTCCCAGCTTCTTTTAGGCGTGTTCAAATGGCCAGCATCACCACTTTTGTTCTTTGGAGTCACTGTTAAGTAAAATAAGGGTCACTTGAACACAAGCACTGCAAAACAAATGACAGTCAATCTGATAACCAAGACGGCTCCTATGTGACTCATGGGTGAGTAGCACAGACAGCATGGATACGCCAGACAATAGGATGATTCATGTCCTGGGTGAGATGGAGTAGGACTGCATGAGATTTTTATCATGCCATTCAGGAGGGCAGGCAATTTAAAACTTATGTGTATTTCTGAGATTTGCCATTTGCCATTTACTATTTCTGGACTGCGGTTAACCACAGGTAACTAAAACTGTAGAAAGTGAAACTGCAGATAAGGGAGACTACTGTATCAGGACAAGTTTGTTAATACTCACAGCTACCCAGATTGGGATAGGCAGTGTAAAGGAGTCAGAGCTTCTGTTCATCAGAATCCATATGGCAGAGGTGGGTCAGCCTCTTGGCACTCTAGGGCCTCCAAAATCCTTTTTCAGCCCTGGGATTATCTGATTCTTCGATTAATGAATGTCTTTCAAGATGCCTACCTTACCAACTTAACCAGGAAATGAATTCACTAGTACTGTGACCAGGTAAGAGTATTTCCAAGGGCAGCCTATGAGCCCTCGGTGGATGGAGTTTCACTAATTCCCTCTGTTTCTGTCTAAGTTGTGAACTGTTTTCCTTTAATGAGAACATTATTGCCATTACTCACTGTATTTTTTTTTTTTTTTGATCATTGTTAGTTGGATCTTATTATGGCTGGCACATCATGACTCCTTTATTCTAAGAAAAGGGCTTTTAAGAAGTCCCAGAAACTATCTAGGGCTGAAAGCCACTTTCATTAATCATTATTTTGACAAAGAAGTATAAACAAACTGACAAATACTGTTTAAATTTAACATTAAAATTCGATGTGTATGTCTCAGTTATTGTGGTTGTCATTATTATTTTTAGTCAGGGAGATGGTTCCAGAAGAAAAGAAAGTCAGTTGCTTTCTGAGATCAGGTGGGAAGTTTATCCCGTCAGCTCCACCTTCAGAGTGCTAGTCTCTGGAGCCACAAGGACTGAAACTCTGCTTCTGAGAGCCACCACTGATGACAACCATTAGGCTCAAGAACCAAAAAGAACTGGGTATGCTTGATCATGCTCGTTAAACGCGTTTCACTACTGACTCACTTCTCCTGCATGTTGGAAAACGTTGAGTTTCTTTCATACCATATTTTGGCCTTGACCTTTGTAGCATTTAGCCTCCCTACAATGGGGTCTATGTGTTTCCACACCCTCAGAGCGGGCCCCTAATTATAGCTATCCATTAAACTGTCAGAAAGAAATCTCCAACTCAATCATGTCTTTATCAAACTCTGGCTGTCAGTGGGGTCAAGTTAGGCGTCAAGTCTGACCTGCCCAGAGCCCCTGTCATGTGCTCATCTCACACTCACTGGGGTCTTTGTGACCAGGCTGGCCAGACAGCCACCTGGCCACCCCCAGTCCAATCCCACTGCATTGCCCAGACAGGGTGGAGCCAAGGGAGGCTCTCGAGCTCAGATAATGGGGCTGACATAATGTAAGGCCTTCTCCTTGACCTTATCTTGGGGAATTTTGTGCAAAGAAGTTATACGGGGTTGGCAAAGCCCTAAATTGGAAATGGGGACTGTACTAAACAGAGAGGAATCTAGTTTCAGGAGAAAAAAAGTATTCAATTTGGACCTGCTTTTGGAGATTATATAATAGAATCAGAGGATCTTATCACTACAAAGGAAATTGTACCTGTCTAACCCTTTATTTTACATTTCAGTGCAAATGTGACCGAGGGACTTGGGTTTTACATTTATTGCTGAGTCTGGTTTTCTTGAGTTTCAGGTGAGTCATATTTTAAAGGGAGCTCCGTAAGAATAAGGTTAATCCAAGGTTGTCATATGTGGCTTTATATTGTTCTCTAGTTGGTTCACACAAATTTGTTTTGTCTCCCTTACAAGATCATAAAATTCCCCAAGGATAAAGGTTATTTCTCCTCCATAGCCCATAGTGTTAAGAAAGAACTTTAAAGTATTTGTTGAGAGTTAGCAATGCTCTTTACTCATTTTTTCTGTATTTGAGTGTGTGTATGTGTTCCTGTGTGTCTCCCCAGATTACTTATAAACACTACCTGCAAATTAAAATAGAACCACCACGTTTTATTGCCAGTTCTATTACCGCATTTAAAAGATGAGGACATTGAGATCCAGGGAAGTTAAGTTACTTGCAGAAGAATGTTCAACTAGAATACGATTTAAACTCAGATCCACTTACTGCCCATTCAGTATTATCCCCACAGTACAAAGTCCCCTTCTTGTTATAACCCATTAGTAGATAAATGTTGACGGGTACAAAAAAAGAAGACATCAGAAATAGGTGGGGTGAATCAGCCCTTAGCTATTAACATTACTATTGTTATTAGCAATACCTTAAATACTACCCTGCCCATACAGCTGTTAGACTTTATTAAGATAAACACTCTTAACAGTTTCATGTATATGCCCACATAAACAATAACTGAAAGCAAGTTTGTGCCATATATATATGTGCATTTATATATGAATATATATTCATTTTCAGTTACACACACATACACACACACACGCACATTTTCCATTACACAAGAGGAATTTTGCCATATATATTGCTCTGTACTTTACTTTTTTCAGTCGATGTTCCTTAGAGATCTTTCTATATCAGCACATGCAGATCTAATTCATAGTTTTCAAAGGGCAATTATGGTTGGGTATACCATGACTTATTTTAACCACTCCCCTACTCATGGGCACTTGGGTTGTTTCCAGATTTGTGCTAAGAAATGTGTACCTTTAACAACCTCTCCTGGAGGGATTTTAAGTCACTAGCCTGACATGAGATCAGTATTTCGAAATCACCAATAGTCTTATGCCTTTATTTTTACAGATGATAAAATTGAAGCCCAGAGAAGCTTGGGAGCCTCAACTATTAATGGAAAAACCATAACTAGAACTCAGTTTTCCTGAGACATTTTTTACTATTCATTCCACTGCCCTTGGGTCACTCCAGGACACTGAACACACTTGCTTTGGCTATTTGGAGAAGAGGCCAATAGACACAACTGGCTTCATCTCCAGGGACACCCAATATCTGGCAGCCCTCAGCCCCAGTAGAGTCTTTGTTGAAAGAACTGATTCATAGACCGGGCGCGGTGGCTCACGCCTGTAATTCTAGCACTTTGGGAGGCTGAAGCGGGCAGATCACGAGGTCAGGAGATCGAGACCATCCTGGCTAACACAGTGAAACCCCATCTCTACTAAAAATACAAATTTTGTGTATATATATATACACACAAATATATATATATATATATATATATATATATATAGCTGGGTGTGGTGGCAGGCATCTGTAGTCCCAGCACTTTGGGAGGCCGAGGCGGGCAGATCACAAGGTCAGCAGTTTGAGACCAGCCTGACCAACATGATGAAACCCCGACTCTACTAAAAAAAAATACAAAAATTAACTGGGCGTGGTGGTGCACACCTGTAATCCCAGCCACTCAGGAGGCTGAGGCAGGAGAATTGCTTGAACCCAGGGGGAGGAGGTTGCAGTGAGCCGAGATCACACCACTGTACTCCAGCCTGAGTGACAGAGCAAGACTCTGTCTCAAAAAAAAGAAACAAAAGAAAGAACTGATTTATGAAAAGATTCTTATCATGATTTTCATTTTACTAGTCCAAAGATCACTGAGTTTAAACTCCCTATTTTAGTAGATGAACCAAAGAGCCTTGAATAAAGACGTAATTCAATAAAAACTTAATCCTCTCATAAAATGGAATATTCTCTGGTTCCCCAATGAACCCCAAAACTTATTAGATTTCTTCTGCAGATGATGTGAGATGGGTTGTTTTACCTAACTAACCCCATTATGCCTTTAAAAATACATTATTATTTAAATGTTTACATTTCTTTTATCCTGCAAATGTACAAAACAGCAAGCCTAGCGTTTCTGGGAAAGCCGGAGCTGGTAGAGGGAGTGATCACATGGGGAATTTTCAGTTGCTCATTCAGGAATTAGGAACAAAAAGCAGATTGGGGTAGTCCACATGTAGCTCACAGATCATCCCACGCAGGCAGTTCCTGCACGTACTGCATAAGGAATTTCTCGCGAGGAGGAGGGAGCAGCCAAGACAAGAGCTTTCTAGGGGTGAGGATCTGAAGGCTGTGCTGACTTCTCAGGTTAGGTGCTTTTTGCTTGTTTGTTTTTAAAAAACAAATAGAATTTCTTTGCTAAACAGCAAAAACCAAAGTTTTCAGTTTGGTTTCAACCATAAAAATAATACCAATGTGTTTGTTAATTTATTTGTCAGCCTGACTGAGCTAAGGGATGCCCAGATAGCTGGTGAAACATTATTTCTGAGTGTGTCTGTGAGGGTGTCTCTGGAAGAGATTAGCATTTGAGTCAATAGACGGAGCAAGTAAAATCTGCCTTCACCAGTATTGGGTAGGTATCATCCAATCCACTGAGGACAACAACATGGTAGAGGAAGGGTGCGTTTTCCCTCTCTTTTGGGGCTGGTACATCCACTTTCTCTGCCCTTGAATATCAGAACTCCAAGTTCTTGAGCCTTTGAACTCTAGGAATTATATAAGCACCTCCTCTTTTCATCCCCCACCAGGGTTCTCTGACCTTTGGACTCAGATTGAATCATACCACCAGCTTCTCTGGTTCTCCAGCCTACAGACAAGCCTGTCATGGGACTCCTCAGCCTTCAGAATTGTGTGAGCCAATTCCCATGGTAAATCCCCCCTTGTATATATCTAGATCTAACATATTTGTTCTGTTTTCCTGAAAAAAACCAACTAGCAATCATGCATTGAGCAATTGCCCTGCAAGCAGTGTTTCCAGTGCTTTACATGATCACTATTATACACCTTAGGACAAGCTTAGGACAAATGAGAAATGCTTGGGACCTTCTGCATATCAATTTCTTAACAGCCTCTTAACCATTACTATGTTCCACAGGGTGGAT